TTGGTTTTGGTTTTGTGTCTGATTTATACAGAACGTGATACTACTTACATACAATTATGCGAAACCAATCAGCTGATATTCATTTCTGCTAGATGAAACACTTTCACTTTATATAGTGTTTGATGCTTGACTGCTAAACGATCTCGTATATGTAGTTCTCATCTACACATTAGATGTATTTACCATGTTTTGAATAAACTCAAATTCTTTGCATCAAATAAAACAAATAATGCCACGAAACACAATGAAAACTATACCAAAAAGTACACATTGAAGCGTTTATAAAAATCCAAAGTGATGCCATAAACATGCAGTTGTCAGTGTTAAGCTCTGTTAGGACTCTAACTTGTTACATGTGTGATAAAACTGCCTAGGATGTCAACCTAAAAGCATGGATCTTACATTACATTGTACTTATTTCATCTCAACCAGCTCTTTCAAATTAAAATAGAGTAAGCATGCAAAACTTTTCAGGTACATCACGAACAGTTTACACACATATACATTGCAGCCATTGTAGGCACAGGCAGGACAAATTGGAAGTGTGCCTTATATTGAAACTGTAACAGGTGGTAAAGGATATTTGACTGTAGCAAGCAAGGCTGCATGCATGTATTTAACAACCCCCAAATAACATTCATCACACAGCAATTTGAAAAAAGCCGTAAAATGTATGTCATGTATAAAGCAGAAAATACAGTGCAGTTGATTAATTTTTAAGTGCTTTTCGAAGATTGCTGCTATTATATGACTACACGCAACATACATAGCAACTACACCATTGCATTTGTACAGTCAAAACTGACTTTGCTGACCATCTAAATAGACAGAACTTACCTAAATAGTTTAACATTCCAGTAAACCAGTCCCACATAAACATCTTTGCTACAAACCTACAAATATTTACAGAAATACAGTTACAACTCCCTGAGACCTACAGTACGTACCTTCACAACAAACCCGTCTGCAATATAATCGAATTAGCTTAAATTAACTACACGTTCTGGTAACTTACAAATTAAATCGAAGTTTGCTAAATTCATGCTCGTCAGCTATCTCCATTTTAAGGCGTTTTAAAACCTTGTGTAAGATAGAAGCTGAAAAGTCCTCGGCTGGCAGCTCTTATTTGAGACTGCTTATGTTTCACTCGAAGGGAGTAAATCTTGGAGATAACTAGGCTATATAAGCAGTGCTTGTGATGACGTGCCAAAAATTACGTAAAGAACTATCATCTTCTCTAAAAAAAGAACTTAAACTGTACACGATAGATGTGCCAGCGTGGCTTCTTTTACGAGGTAACATTCAGCATGTAGTAGTTTGGCAAACAATGCAAAATCGATCTCAAGCCTGCATATTTCTTTATACGAAGACACGTAATTCTTCACAACCGAATTATCATTTGCCGGTGCAGTGTAACATGTAAATCTTCTATGCCAAAAATAACAGCGGTAATTGGAGAGAAAACAACTTCCCAGAGCCAAGATAATGATTATTGTACATTTATACTCACCTAAAAGTTAGAAATTCCTATTTAAAATGGTAAGAATACTGGAATTTTGTAGAAAACAGTGACACAAAATTTTACACGAGTACGACTTTCCGGCGTTGTTTCCCGTATGTTAAACCTGTTGCGCAACTGCGCCACGTAATGACCTCGATTTGGTTCAGACTTCCGACTTCCGGTTTCGTAAACTAGTTTCCAGTTCGACGCACTGGCACGGACGTGAGAACGCCTTTCTTGCCGTACCTCTCAAATTATTGAAATTTTTATGTACAGTTTCCATACTCATTTATATAGATGTGGTAAAGGACCTAAAACGAAAATACTGCTGGTATATTAAGACCTGTAAAAGATCTGATCAGCCAAAACATAGATGGCCACAAATAGAATACACTCCTGATACAGTAGGGCAATACAGTACTGACACAATACTGATACAATACTGATACAAACTTTATTTTCGGATTAGGCTAAATAGTGCATAGCACTAGTGAACCTGCGGCCCTCGATGAAACTACCAAGCTAGAGGTTACAGATTGTAAGTGTAATGTTACGAGCAGATGCTGGGCAGTAAAACATCTTAGAAACAGTAAATGCACATACAGATGATCAAATTTATTTATTCAAGGCGCCCCTGATTACCGTCATTTTGGAACGGATTACATAATATAAGTTGTTTGTGATTTTAAAATACAAAATAGCAAATATTGCACAGAAATCAGGAGCAATTTTTTTGTAATTTGGACCTAACAGTAACAGCAACAGTAACAGTAATTTTAAAGATCAAGATTTCTTGAATTAATAATACAGTTCAGGGTTGTCAAGTAAGCCGGCAACCGGCGCATTTAACCGGTTATTTCGAAAAACTGTGCCGCCTACTCCGAATGCTAGTAGGTTAGTCCTGAGCGTGATATTGGAAAAATAAAATGGAAATAAAAATTGTTCATTTAATAATTTGTTTGAACCCAAATTGCATGTGGATCAGAGGGAGTAAAAAAATATTTGCTACAAAGTGCGTAACACGAATTGAAAATGATTTAAACAGCCCTGCAATGTTCTACATTTCAGCGCATCATTCTAGAAGCAACCAAAACACGAAATTAAGTATTTTAAAATAGTCTAGTAAAAGGTGAATTTTCGTCCTGTACAAATGGCACTGCAATAAATAGGTCAGTTAAGTAGTAATCAGAGGGAAGTAGATTTTCTTATTTACACAATTATTAGCGTCGCGGCCGCCGGCGGTGTGAAACTGGCTGATGTCCTCCACAAAACTGCAGAATTACTTCTACGCTTTCTCTTACATTATGTAAATAAAAAATACTCCTTTGAATTTTCTGAAGTGATGTAGTAATTTTCTAAATTTATAAACACA